AGATAACGTAGCTAATTTTTTAAGTTCATCAAACTAAAATAACATAATATAAAAGTGTAATAAAAACGATATAATAAAACGATATAATAAAAACATTTCGGAAAAATGTGTAATATTTAGTTCGCAAAAAGAGAATAATCATGACATTTTCTCCAATTTGTAGAAATGATCAAATTTCTGCAAATTTGAATAGAATTAATAATACGTGACTCAAGATGTAAAAATCATTTACATTTTGCGATATTAAATCGCGATGTGATCCCGTTTTATGACAGACTTTTTCTACGCTTACATACATACATTATCTTTCAATTTAAAAGATAAAAGTATTAGATTTTTAGAGAGAAAAAAAGAATAAAGTTATTCTGTCGTCGTTTCAGCGTTTTTACCTTCATCGTCGTTTCATCGCATAAGATTTATGTATAAATAATCGGTAATAGAATCAGTTAAAAAAATCGCATGAATCAATTTAATATGCCTTGGATTATATTCAACTAGTTTGCATAAATTTAAAATAATGGAAGAATTATAAATGCTAATAAACCAAATGAGAGTTCAAGTCGCTGAAAGATATAATTACACAGCGAAAGCTTGTATTGAAGAAAAATTAAATTGAGTCTCAAGGTGATCAGTTTGCTCATTGATTATTTAGCAAGATATTTCCGTGAACGTAACTTGTAAGCGAAAAACTGTCAGAAACCAGGAATTAAAGCAACAAGTTCTCAAATGGCTGACGGTTAAATTCGCGACGATCTGCGATATTTCGACGATTTAAATATGACCTGAGATCGCGTTACACAAATGGTGCTATTCTTTCGAGAGAAGAAGGAAGTTTCTTTCGCGACGACAGATAATCCGCGTCAGTTTACGTGAACCAGCGTATTTTTAATTAAGTCGCCAATTTCGAAATTTACGGTGAAATTTATGCGCGACCGCATTTTAATAACGTAACCAAGTTTTGATTGCTTCATTCTGTGTCGGCAGTATTCATCCGTTTCACGGATGCGCTTCTAACATCCAAGTTGCGAGGCAAATCCGTGATATCGTCCACTGCGAATGGCTGCGAAAGCAATGCAGATCCTTCCAAAACGTATACATTCCTATTCCGAGTTAGAGAAAACTAATCGCAAGAAGAAATGAACTTTCGACCGGGATGGATTCGTAATGGCATTACCCGTGCTTATCGCAGCTGATTAAGATATGAATATTCGGGAAGATGGAACAAAAAGATGCCGGGAAACTTACTATCTCGCTGTAGCTAATTCGCGCGGGAGAGTTATCCTTTCGATCATGAAAACGAGATTTACGAGAAATTATCAAGGATTACGTAGCTTCTTTATTCAAACGGGGAAAAATAATAGCACAGTCGCGATATAATTTCCCGCGTAATTCTCGGATGATCTAGAAGATCCCAGAAAGATTCAGCGCGATTATCTCCTGCCGCCCCACCGGTAATTTCCACGTCGTTAGTATCACTGCGCGAGTTAAGGGACCTCCCTCCGTGACACACACATACATAAGCGCAAGAGAAGTCTCCGGTAAAATCGATTAATGCAAGTGTTCTGAAGAGACAGTCGTTCCAGGTCGCAGATATCGCGCCAAGTATCGTGGTTTGAGTATTACCCCAGAGCGTTTAGTAAAAACATGGGTTTCTCTCTCTCTCTCTCTTTTTCCGATACAAGGTAATCGCGCGACGAAGTAGCAACGAGTATCGAGTATCGGGAGAACTCGCGAAGAAACTTTTCCAATATGATGAAGCAATTATTTCACCTGCGAGTATCGAAGTCTACTGTTGATCGACGTGCCGATTGCATGGATTTCCCAATCGAGAACGAAGCCAGCGAAATTGCACAGATCTTCTACTTGCGCGATGCTTGATTTGTATACACTCTTAATTACAGCAGTAGGATTACGCCTGCAGGATCGCGCCGTTATGGGAATTAATTTAATGGAACGAACGCCGCCGCGCGCCCTGTTTGTAAATAAATGTATGGGATGGTTATAATTAAAAACGTCCGCTCGTTATATCGCGCGGACATAAATTATTCCCAGTCGCAGAGAGCAAACTCACTAATAATCACTGACCGCAATGTAATACCACCCCATTCCCTGCTTGCAACAATAGATCGTAATAATAAACGCGGAGACTGTTTCCTTTGAAATCACTCGTTATTCACCGCGGAAAGAAGAAAGCGAGTAATCCCGATACACAGATCCGCAAACTTGCTCGGAAGATAGACGTTGCTGGTGGTCAATTTATTATTCTTATGCAAATAACCGGGACGAAGATTAAAGCTCGGCGTGTAGTTAGGCGCATTAACCGAAACTTGGCGCAAGTCACTTGCAACAAGGTGCTCGTAGAGCCAGACCATGTTAGCCTATCAAGTGGTTGTTGGCTGGCAGGGCCAAAAGTTACCTGCCGATGTATCTAGGATGTAAGGGAAGCTATCCGTAACTACCTATACAGCTATGCAAACTTGGAAATTTCACGTTAATCGCAAAAATATTTCCTCGTTAACGCATTCGTGACTCCTCATGACAAATATAAATATATCTTTGTTATTTTATGTCAAAAAGACTTCGCGCGTAATTAATTTGTAAATTTAATTAAATATACATAAAAATATTTACGCATAAGAGAGGAGCATTTTTTCTCCTATTAATAAAAATTTATGCGTTTATTCAAAAATAATCGAATTAATAATTTCGAAAAAATTAGTCTTAAATATAAATTAATATTTTTAATAGTAAGAAAAAAACCTATTTTTTTTTTTATAAATTAAATATAAATTCTGCAAAATGCATTTCAACAATGATAAGTCGGAAAAATGTTATTTAACAATATAATATTGAGTAAATATACTTTTATACATGTTTGTTTATATTCGCAATGAATGTATTTTCGCTTTTACAGCTTATCTATTAAAAGCTTTATTAATTGCAGGAAAATTTTGGCGTAATTGCTTTAGGTAGCGCGACATATTTATGCAACGTAATTTCGACCATGAAATGCGAAGAACTTCGGGATAGCATGTGAGCCGGGAATAATTTAATTAGCAGTTCGTAAGATGATTAACTTCATTGTCACGCGTGTTTAAAATGAGATTACGACTTAATTGCGCTTTAATGACTATGCTATATGCAACATCGATACTGACATTCCGAATTGAAATTTTTCTCCTACTTTCGATTTTAACTTTTAATTTATTTTGAGATACTTTAATCAATCAGATCATCTTTTGAAGCTATTTAATCTTTAATTTTGCCAAAAGCTCTTCTTAAACCTCTGTTAATTTATAGCCTATTATAATTTATTTAAGATACAAAATAGAAACTCAATTCTTATATAAATTAAACCTTGAAATCAAGTCCTATATAATTAAATCTCGAAATCTTTTTAGACTATAAACATGAGAGAAAATTGAGAGTGAAAATAAAAGCAAAATCGAGTCGAGATGACTTGGGTATCGAATAATAATACGCATGGTTAATAATTAATGGCTTGATCGATTGATTTGACAACCTAATTGTAGCGCAAACTTTCATAATAATTTATACGATCGCACAATGAGCGCGTTTATATCTTGAAAAATCATTAAACATGCAAATCATGAGTCACTTATATACCGCGAATAACCGATACGGCCTGCGGTTACATTCGAAATGAAAGACAATCGACGCAACACGTGTTTGGTGCCATCCGTCTTCGATGTACGGGCGCGTTCAATGCATTCGTGTACCACGTGTGGAATTGCACTCGATTGGAATGTCACTACGAACGAAGAGAAAGAAAGCGAGTTTATCTTATTTACCGGTTATTGAAAGGAGAATGTCTTGATTTTCCGTTTTAGAAAAGCGCGATCTCGCCTGAAGTTCCACAGACGCGAACACGAACGACACGTCGATCCCGAGATGAAATATTTCTCTTATTTCCGATCTCAATTTTCAATGTAACATCTACTTTAATATTCTAAACAATCAGATCACCCTCCTTTTTAAAATTATTTAACTTATACAACTCCTACATAGAACCGCGGAATTCTACTTGAATTAGAATTTTGCTTTACTATAATTTTTAATAATTATAATAATCTTAAAAATTTATATATAAATATTTATTTATTTATAATAAATAATTTCTTTTTTTTATATAAATGCTGCATTTGCGTATGAATATTGAAGAATTCTCATATTAATTAATTACAATAGAGTTAAAAAAATAACAGAGTTCTGGATAAAATGATATTAAAAAAGATTGAGAAAACTCTTGAAGAAATATTAAAGTAAAAGTAAAATTTTATCTCAAATACAATTTCGCCGTCCTGTGAGTACAAGTTATAAGTTAAATAGTTTCAAAAGGAGATAATTTGACTTGCTTAAAAATAAATGTTAAATAAGAAACTGAGATCGAAAGTAGAAGAAAAATTTCACCTCGGATTGAATTTTATTACGCACAGCGCAAAGATGAAACGTTATCCTACACCGCCCTTACATCCCTCCCTCGCAAATTCCGACGAAGAGTTTCCAGACATTCGCTTCAAAAGCGATCGTGTATCATGAAATAATTATTCATACTCGCGGAGAGGTGGAAGGCTCTTTCTCTCTTTCTCTCTCTCTCTCTCTCTCTCTCTCTCTCTCTCGTAGAGTTCTCAATATATAAGTCTCTCCTAAATCTTCTAAACGGCTTGACTTTACGCGACTTGTTAAGCTGCAATTCAATACTTTCTCTTCTGTGCGCAACTACGTTGGTATCGCGAGGGCGTACGAGGTTTAACCATGATCCGTCATAAAATCAACACGTTGCCCATAAAGATCTGTACGACGAGAACAATTCAGAAGAGAAGATTTAGAATAACAAATGTACGCAGCAACCAGGAACAACGTGTTGCACACAGAGATATTGTATTCTTTCGATAAATTTTTTTCCGCTGGACGTTTCTTTATTCACACGATATATAGATGCGACATAAATATTGATTTATTATCGGTTTATTTTTCAGACGAATGGGCCAGAGATCGATCGTCGGAGAAAACCATATCGCACTTTAAAGAAAACTACATATCCTCGTGGTACGTAAAAACATTTGAATGATTTATTGATACAAGGCAGTTATTGTGAAAAGAGCATAAAAAAGTAACGAATAATATAATTAAATAAAAATAAATTTTCGATCCATATAAAAGAGATTTTAGACATTATCACGTATATATAATATAATTTATCTAATTTAAAAAAACAGAAACTAAAATTTAAATTAAGGAAAAATATAAATTTTCACGAAATTTTAGATTTTAAGTAACTTTTCTAGCTAACTGATTCATTTATAATGTTATGCTGTACTTTTTTTCAACTATATATATAGTGCAAGCTAAAATAAAATGTATGTTTTAATTATCAAATAATTCAGAATTAAAGTTTATTTGACATTAATAATTTAAGAATTTTTAAATACGCCGTGAAATTTCGAAAATGCGGACAAAAAGCAATCTTATTTTACAATCAATAAGATGTAGTTTAGCAAGAATGTTACTTTGCTGTCATATTTTCATGTTTTATTATGCTAAAGAAACATTTACCCTGATATTACTAAAAGATGTCGGTAATAAGTAAAGAGCTAAGTGTACATAACTCCTTTAGCACCTCCTGCATATTCAAATCCAGGAATGCTCCACGCGAACTCGTAGATAATTATCACCGTTATAGCCATGCTTGTAATATCTCAAGTAACCGCAGTTTGTTATCTCACGAAGATACATCTGTGCATCGCCATGCACAGCACGCGCTTTGTTTGCGATAGCGGATTCCGCGCAAAAATACCGCGAAACACGGGGAGTACCTTTGGGAAAACACCGGGACAGTAGCAGTTATCTCCGTTTCGTTCGTGACGTAACAAAAGAAGCATCCCCCTTGGAAAATGAAATAGCCGCGTAAAAGGCCGCCTCTCGTTTTTATTCCCCCACAATCCCGCGGTAATTACATCAAACGACGGTACAACCGTTCGTCGTTCGTCATCAATGTCCTACCCCGCCTATTCAAGAACGAATTGCTCGAACGAAATAACGAAGTTAAGCGTGCTCAGGCAGCTACTTTATTAACTTTAATGCAAAACGAGTAAGTTCGGGTGGCAAATGCCGCAAAGGACCTCGAAGGGTAGAATCTACCGAAGGGTAGATCGAGAAAAGCGACCGACGAGAGGAGACAGATTGTCCCAAGCGGAAGGAACACGCGTGAGTTTGTATAGGAAGTGGTTGTGCACAAAAGAAATATCGATTCCTCTCCCATGGAATTCGAACGAATCTCTCGCGAGCGCGTCCGTTGTCCCGCAGGGTGCAATAAATTTTTCCCCGCTTCTTAATCCTCCCGCAGGACGTCTACGTATTTACCGGCGCCCCGGGACCATTTCGCGCCGTCTTGATTATTGCCGCAATACGAGCGACCGGTTACCGACGAAGCTATTTTTTTATTCAAACGAGATTAAAAAAGGAAAATCTCGACTTTTTCCGAAAATTCGGGACCGTCCCTTCTGTGTGTTTCCACTCAAAAAAGTGGTATTGCAACCACAGCAAAAATTTTCTAGGTGCGCAAAATTAACTGAGGTACATAAATGATTAGCAAATACTGTGATATCGCATATGTTTCGCATTTAATCAATCTAAGTGACAGAGACAGAATTTATATCTGAACTGTTTGTGAAATTTAGAAAGAATGTTTTTCTGTGGCGCCTATCCATGTTAAGGCCAATCATACTTGTTATAAAGTTTGACTGTGGTACACAGAAAAAATTAGCGGCAAGAAACAAATAAATATATAATCCTCACATCTAACATATTTGTATAACGCGCCCAATCTATCTAGCTCTTTTAAACAATTTCTCTCAATTTTTCGATGCAGTTTTAATTGGCAGTTATATTTCTCACAAAGAGTGTTCTAGCTGTAGTATCGAAACTCATATTTATCCAATGCAGTGATTAACATTTGGCAATGGGACCTAAATTTTCTAGAAGATATTATTAGAATATTGCTGCTATAAATTCTATATGTAACAGACAATATTCTAACAGATACAAAAAATAGCGATAAATTTTTGTTGTGACACCTAGAAATCTACCTATATCAGCAAGACATTTTTTTGAGTGTTCATGCAAAAATATTCGTCGAAGAATCTGCGATCGTCAAAAAAAGCAAGGGGGTTTGCTTAGAGAGTGTGTATATTATTATTTTTGTATCATTATTTCTATAACTGAATAAATTTCCTTTAAAGATATTTACCGTTTTGTACTGTCTTTAATAACCATTATATAATTTTATTATATAAAATTAATTTCATAAAATAAAGTTTATTTACATATCTTGTTTTATGTAAAATCAAGAAAAATAATCGAGAATATTTAGTATACATTCAAATGCATGCGAGTAGTTCAAGTGTCTGCGAACTAAACAAAGCCCTTTCTAGTTTTGATTTTTGACAAAAAAAGTTTTCTTTTTCTCTAATAAAAGATATTTTTTAAATGTGCTATTATATTCTTTACTACAATTGCTTGAAATTTTTAAGTGCGTTTTTTAACGCACAATTTCAATATTAAAATAAAAAATGATTAATCACTCACCGATACGACGCGCAGCGGCGGAATTGTAGCACGCAACGTTGATCTGTAAAATAGAAATATATATATTCGAATTAAAATATAGTTCAAAATATTTAACATTTCAAAAATATAGAGAAGATAAAGATATTTAATAAATTAAATTACATCATTCCCGGAAAAAAAAAAAAATTTTTAATTTAGCTTTTAATAAGCTTTCATCAAAAAAATTATAATAAATAAAAATCCAGTTTTTATATAAATAATCTAGATAATTATAAATTTCAATCATTTATATATATAAATTATTATACAAATATATATTGTACATATTTCAAATAATATTCTTTAAAATGAAAAAGAGAATATCTTATATCACACAATTATGTAAAAAAGGTCAAAAAACAATCAATTTGACAAATAATAAATTAATTAAGTTATAAATAGCTTACCTCACGATTGTTCCGCCGTTGCCAGATGCCACCCTGGACCTCCTCCTCCTCTCCTTTGTTCACTCTTTGCTGCCTCTTTATAGCACTCACTTGCGAAAGCACAATTAATTACGATCGCGCGTGCATTATTTATCAACGAAAATACGACGATCGCTTTGCACAGTAATCGCGACGCTTTAATCACACGCGGCACGCACTTTATTATATTGCGACGTGAATAGAACAATGCGAAACTCGCGATCGCACGAATCTGCGATTTAATCAAACGCGCACAGATGGATTATCATTAATAATTCACGATACGAAAACATACGTATTATTAATAAACGATCGATGTATCGTGTCTTTTTGTTACTTGAATCAATTTGTCATCGCCACCACATTTGTCGCGCGCGCGTTCATTGTTTATAATATAATCAATTGCGTAAGCAATTATTCATCCGTGTCATATTTTTCAATCCAACAAATAATCATTGGAAAATGATATTTTCGAACTAGAAAAATATGTGCTAATAATCGTATTTTTTCACCTCGTAGTACTTGTCGATTACGCATCTCGAAGATTAAGTATATACTGTGAGAAATAATTACGTGCGAGAGATGTATAATACGGAAACGTATACGAAGTGCGGCGCGCGATGTTACTTGTTCGAGTTTCACTACGCGAGTGATAGAGTGATCACGTATTACAATAATAATGTTACAATTCGGCGTTGGTATTTTGCGGATTGTTTTTATCTACGTATAATAAACAATCCGAGTCTCGTCATGCGAATAACAACAAGGTTATCACATGTAAATATCAGCGCGCTACACACAATACGAGCGCCGAATTGTGGCGTTATTATTGTGATACGTGATCAACCTGCTATCATTCACGCAGTGAAACTCGGACAGGTAACATCACGCGCCGCTTTTCGTCGTATTATACATCTCTCGAACGTAATTATTTTTCACGGTATATACTTAATCTCCGAGATGTAATCGACAAATACTACGAGGTGAAATAATACGATTATTATTTGCTGTAATTGTTGCGATTAACGATTATTAGCACATATTTTTCAATACAAATAATCGTTGGAAAACGATATTTGCAAACTAGAAAAATATGTGCAAATAATCGTTAATCGCAACAATTACAACAAATAATAATCGTATTTTTTCACCTCGTAGTACTTGTCGATTACGTCTCGGATATTAAATATATACTGTGAAAAATAATTATGTTCGAGAGATGTATAATACGACGAAAACGTATGCGAAGAGCGGCGCGCGAAAAAAAATTACGTTCGAGAGATGTTATAATACGAAAATGTAGACGAAAAGCAGCGCGCGATGTTACTTGTTCGAGTTTCACTGTGCGATTAATAGCAAGTGTTACGATAATAACATTACAATTCGGCGCTGGTATTTTGCGACACGTAGCGCGCTAAAGTTTATGTACGGTAACCTTGTTGTTATTTACGCGGCGAGGCTCGAGCAGGCAGGAATGTCGAGCTGCTCTCCGTATACGTCTTCGTATTATATATCTCTTAAAACGGAATTATTTTTCGTAGTACATGTTTAATCTCCGAAACGGATCGAAAAGTACTACGAGATGCAAAAATACGATCATTTCCTCTAATTGTTGCGATTAATGATTAAAGATACGAGCACATATTTTTCTAATTCGCAAATATTATTTTTTAACGATTATTTGTTGGACTGAGAAATATGCAAATTACTTACACGGATGCCTCAGCCACGTATAATTACTTTCGCAATCGATTATATTATGAACAATGAAGGACAAGTATGGTGGCGATGATTAATTGATTCAATTAACGAAAAGGCATGATACATCGATTGTTTATTAATATATATTTTGCGGGATTTATGTTGAAAATCTATTCTATTCACGTAATATCGTGCGGTATCAGAATAATGTCGATGTAATTTTCGATCACTAACAAAACATCTCAGATACAAAATACAGATTGAGTCTATTGTGCGACTAATTTCGCTTACTTGTCGCGTTGCAATATAATAAAATGTACATCGCGTTAATTAATGACGAGAGCGGCGTAAAATATCGCGAAGTGATTGTCCTATTTTGTTAATTAGTGCATGCGCAGTCGTAATTAATCGCGAGTGAATGCGAGTGAAAGAGCAGCAAAGGACAGACAAGAAAAAAGATAGAAAGGATCCGAGATGGCATCAAGCAACGGCAAAGCAATCGTAAGGTGAGTTATTTACATAAATGTGCAATATAAGGATCTCGATTTCTCTCTCTCTCTCTTTTAAATTATTTTCTCTTATATATTTTATATATTTCGAGATGTGGAAATTGAATCTAGTAAAAAAATTATCACTTTTTTCGCTCATTATTGAAAAATATATTATATCAAAAACCTTTATATATATTAAATTTATAATAAGCTTTATTAATTTCGCTTTATTTACATAAATGTGTGCAATATAAGGATCTCGATCTCTCTCTCCCTCTTTTAAATTATTTTCTTTTATATATTTTGAGATGTGGAAATCGAAACCAGTAAAAAAATTATCACTTTTTTTTGCTCATTATTTAAAAATATCTTATATCAAAAACTCTTACATATATTAAATTTATAATAAGTTTTATTAATTTAGCTTTATTTACATAAATGTGCAATATAACGATCTCTCTCTCTCTCTCTCTCTCTCTCTCTCTCTCTCTCTCTCTCTTTTAGTTTATTTTCTCTTATATTTTTTATATATGTTAAAAAAATTAAATTTGTGTTTAATATATTGAGCGGAATAAATTTTATAAACTTTGAAGTGTAATTATATACAAACATTAATTTCTATAATAAATCTTTTTTTCATACAATAAAAAGATTTATTAAAAAGTTAATTACTTTAGAAATAACAATTATATTTTAAAAAATATTTGTAATCTCGATATTAAATTGCAATAAAAATTTTAAATAGAGAAGTTTTTCAATATTTTAGTCTATCAAATTAATAAAAGTCTTGCATGATTAGAATTTAGATCGATATAAGCCAAATCAAAAATTCTATATATTCTATAATAATAATCTCTCTCTCTCTCTCTCTCTCTCTCTCTCTCTCTTTTAGATTATTTTCTCTTATATATTTTATATATTTCGAGATGTGGAAAACGAATCTAGTAAAAAAATTATCACCTTTTTTCGTTCATTATTTAAAAATATCTTATATAAAAAATCCTTAT